ATAATAAGTAAAGAACATTTTCCTACTTTGACAGTATAGGTGATTGGTAATTTTCTTGTTTCCTTTTAAATTTTATTTCAAACACTTAAAATCGATAATAGTCTGAAGCATGATACAAACGCAAATCGATGCCTCCAATGAACACTACTCTAACTAAAAATTTTTAAATTTTCGTCTTTCACACAAATCGCTTCACTATACTAAAAGTATTACAATTAATCATTATTGATGGGGTCCGAAGCAAGAGTAAATTAGCTAGTTACACAAAAAAGCCATAAATATATCTGCAATAATAAAGATGTTATCAACTTTTTTCGTTTAAACGCTCCTCCTGTAAATCTACGAATTTGGAGTTAGCGTAGTGTTCATTGGAGGCATCGAAATGATAATTTTGCTGACCTATACTAGACTCTGACAAAATAAATTGAAAGTAACATTAATAATAAGATCACTAATGAGTCAGTGCGTTTGTGTTTTAATTTTTGAATACATAATTTCAATGTTATTTATACATATGCGGTTAATTTAAATTTTAATAAATGATTTAGTAAACATTGTATGTGCCTTACATTACTAAATAGTTATCAATGATACTGAAGACTATTGAAATTAAAAGAGAAACTTAAAAACACTTTGTATTGTTGAATTTTATGTCAAAATGAACAAAATCCTTAGTATATCTTAGACACGTTCGCGTGAGCAACTTCTTATAACGTCGTGGTTTTTAAATTATGAAATGACGCAACATCATGTGACGGCCTCTAGATTATCATATTTATTTTGTCGGAACTTCTTTGGATGTCTATTTTATGGGCAAATTCTTATGGCGCATCTACTTAGCGCTGCAACTCATTCGATTTTCATAGCCTAAACCGCCGAGTTCCCTAGAAAAAAAACATCGATGTACGTATTACGGCGGGACGTTTTTAGACGTTGCTAAACTTTGTATGGGAAAAAGGTGCGCCACAGTAGCAATATTCAGAAATGATGTTGCTCACGCGAACCTGTTAAATGTTAATAGGGAAAAATATAGGCTTTTTTTGTATTAATCACTGAACTATGTCGTCGGTGATCGGATTAAAACACGTGTTTATTTCATAAAAAAAAAAAAAAATGTTCATAAGACTTGATTTAATTTTTATAGCTATTCCTAAGACGAGTTCGAAAATGACATGTAAAAAATATGTAACTATTGTTTTCAATTTGTGTAAAATGTACATTGAGTACTGATTATTCTTAAGATATTTTTTTGTAATTTTATTAAATATATTTAAAAAAAAGTGTTTTTTTTTTGTTGCCACTACATACTATTTACTGCCTGTTGTCCCTGTAACCCACACAGTCGTCGTCGTTTATCGAGTGATGTGATTGTGCCGTGTTCAAATCTCGCGAAAATTTTGACTTCTACGATAAATTTTCAGTATGAGGAATTACTAAGCCATCGAGACGTAAAACTCAGGTGAGTGATGTGATGCCGATCCGCGGTGGTAGATTCTCCGAAGCACTGCTTTTACTAAGCCTAAATGTTAGCTTTTCTTGCTTAGATTGGTGGACGAGCTCACGGCCCACCTGATGTTAAGTGGTTACCGAAGGCTACATCTAGAACGTAAATGCCGCCACTCACCTTGAGTTATAAGTTAGTCAGTCTCAGTATAGTTACAACGGCTGCCCCACCCTTCATACCGAAACGCATTACTGCTTCACGGCTGAAACAGGCAGGGCGGTGGTACCTACAAGTGCGGACCCGCAAGAGGTCCTACCACCAGTAAAGTAAAGTAGGTACAAAATTTCAAGTGAAGCCTTTTTTCTATCTAATCGCTGGTAGCCTAGGGGGCTATAATACCTACGTTAGGACGGGTAGGTGAGCTCACGAGCCGGTCACCGTCCACGCCGAACCCGTCGCTTGCGACGAAGGGCACGACGAGTAAATTATCCCCACAAGACACAACCCACTGACTTTCTCGCCGGATCTTAGTGGGCCGGGTTTCCGATCCGGTGGCTCTGCGAAGCACTGCTCTTGCTAGGACCAGTCTTAGCCTCCCGGTTTGAGCCCCGAGGGCTCACATACACGTCAAGAAGCTGAAACAGCCTCTCAAGGCTATCAGCATAGGTAGGAAAAAAAAAGATCGGTGACCGGTGCTTGGAGAACCTAAAAGCGCCGAAAGTGGATCAGGAGGATCTGAAAAGACATATTTTGCGCTGCCCCGTCGCTCAGAAATAAGCCTGAAGATTCCATGTGAGACTTCTGTGACACTAACGCCTAATCTTTCAAAATAAACAGTGAAATCTAAGTTGTCTGTGTCACTAAGCGTCTGGTGAATATTTAACGTCTTGTTTGCAATAGGTAAATTTACCCAAAAGTGTGATTAATCCTAATTTCTAATTTAGCATTGTACAGTACCGCCATCTCTTGACAGGACTGGTTACAATTCCTACGTTATTCCTAACCAAATCTTAAAGTTTTATGAATGAAATATTTTATATTTGAACAATAAATGAACTATTGCATTGCCAGAGCAATTTGAGACAGAACGATTCTTGCCATAGGTGTCATATTTAAACAAATCGATCTTTAAATTGAGCATTCCCTGTGTAACATGCCAGAAATTTTATTTTTAGTTTCTAATCCACGGTCACTCAGTTAATACATGAGTACTGCGTTTGCGAACACAATCTCAATTCAAAGTACCTTTTTATAAAAAAATAAACACAAAAAGCCAACCATGGCACCTTACGATTGGCCCATAGATACAGTGAATTTGCCGGTGATGCGCATCGTGACACCCAAAAATGAATTTATGTGTGGAATCTACGGAATGTGAGTACATAATTATCAAATTGGCTGTACATGTGCTACAGTTTACACATACGTTTACATTATTGTTCAATTTCAATTTGTGATGAACGATTATTATTAACGTATTTGTTAAAATATTATTCAAATCTATATATATATATATATATATATATATATATATATATATATATATATATTAGATTGAATTCAAATATTTCAAAATAAATCCTTTTGTTTTAAAAAATTACTTGTTTCTTAATTTTATTACAATGTTTCCAAGGACTATTGCTGCCAGACAACCATGCTGGTACTAAATCAATCAAGGCAAGAGTTTGAGAAACACCTAATCTAAGAAAATTATCTAAAACACTCTTTAAGAACATTAAATGTAGAAATTAGAAACTATATATTCATGATTACTCAATCTTTGCTAATCTTAATCTGTATTCAGAACATTTTGGTTGATGAAAAAAATAAGTTTCAAATTCTCCCTATAAGTCCCTACCTACCAACTCAGAATCCAGCCATTACGCATTCAAATATCCAAAACGTCAATGTTAACTCAATGTCACTACTGACTACTGTCAAATAAATTGTGAAGGAAAACAGTCGGTGCTGTGTCAAACATCTATTAGCTTAAATAAAAAAACAAAAAAAAAACAGTAAAATTATTAGTAATTTAAACAAAATGAGTGCTTCAAAAACCGTGTCTAAAGGGTCTGTGAACAGTACAACGATCGTGACGGACGACGTAGACGAAAGCTCAAAGCCGGAATTTATTTATGGTGGTCCCTTCATTAAAGTAGAAAAACCATCACCGATAATAGACACAGCCACTCCGTTCAATTTGGAACTACAGGGAACATTTAAAAAGTACGTTTAAAATTATCAATAAACCATTATTAGTATGTTATAAAAATAAATACATGTCTGTTATCAGATAGAACAGAAAAAAATTCTACACAGGTACACCGCTCATCTAGTGTTAAGTGGGTACTGGAAGACATAGAAACCGCAACGTGAATGTCACCATCCATCCTGAGATATGAGTTTTTCATCTCAATTGTCTCAATATAGTCAGTCTGACTGTCTTTATAATCATAAAAATAATGATCAGATAAATTTAAGCTTACCGATTGCTCATACAATCTATTTATTACTGCCATGCTGTTCATTTCTGCATCAGAGCAATTAGACAATTGGCTATTCTAATAAAATTGAGACATGGATCTATAATGAACATTCACATTAATTCTGTCACTATCACTCAACACCATTTGGCCTGTTAGCTCATATGCCCAACGGCTTAAAAAACTGGAAAGCTTACCAACCAAAAAAGTGTGCATAAAAGCAGTGCCCATGAAAGTTAGAACACATTGAATAACACAACCGTATAGTTAAAAATATGTTTTGAAATCGTAAATTAATACGTTATATCATGTTCATATTAACTGAGAGATAAAACTGTAGTTAAGTCCACCTTTATACTATCTACTATATAAAGTTATAAATAAATAAATAATATGAATGATGTAATAATGAAAAAAAAAAGCTGCTTTATGGTTGATCAATATATTGTTTTTGGCTATGGCTACATTGGTCTTGTTAGGGGCTTGTCTTCAATTTGTAAAACATAATTAACTTCTAAAAAAAGTTAAGATTTGTAAAAGCTACGCTATTGTTGAATATGCTATTTAATTTCATATCGTCTTGCAGAGCCCGGATAGCTCAGTCGGTAGAGCATTGGACTTTTAATCCAAGGGTCCAGGGTTCAAGTCCCTGTTCGGGCGGCATTTTTTTTGCTTTTTTCTTTTAATAATCATTGTACCACTCTGCCATATTTTTTATTATTACATTAAAAATGGAATACTAAATTATTATATGTATTTGATAATTTTGTGTGTTTGGTTAGTAAACTCCGCCTAGTTCATTACTAAAGATATTTAAGAAACTATGAGTCATAATAGTTACTAAACAAACCGCAAGATGGCACTTTTATCAACAAACAAATGCTAATAAAGATTTTATTTTGATGAACTTATTAGCAAATAACCTGGTACAGTTACATGAACGAATACTAACATTAAATAAAAGTGTTCATGGACATCATCTACAATTTTGTATGAAAATAAAAACAATATAAAATATTATTCTATCATTTATTTCAATGCATAAATCGTATTTCGTATTCTGGTCTCGGTCCTCAGATGTTTTCCCCGGGATACGCCCTTTGCAGCTCCTTGTTGGCCTTGTAGAATAAATCCCAGAAGGCCATTCTCTCACTAAAAGGTCTAGAGCCCACAGTGAGCTCCTTGCCCAAGTTTAGGAAAGGTTTCGTTTTAGTGTCAACAATCGGAGTCCATTTTACCGGTATTAGTTCTGTAACTTCCGGCGTAGGGTTTCTGAAAATAGAAAAGATCTGTTTTAGAAGGAATGTTCGGATAAGGCAGTAAGGCACGTCCTACGTGTGCGAAGCAGTAATACGTTTCGGTTTGAAGGGCGGGGCAACCGTTGTACCGTAAAAACTGAAGCCGTAGAACTCATGTCTCGGTGGGTAGCGCCATTTATGTTATAGATGTCTATGGGCTCCGGTAACCACTTAACACAAGCAATTAAACAAAAAGTTCTACGGCGAAGAAAAATCCCGTAATAACGCGTTGTAATGTATATGCTGCCGAAGATATAATCTAAGGAGGATTGAGATTGGCGACGGTCGATACGACGTCGATGCAGTATCTTAAGAGATATTTAGCCGACCTCACATAGTACGCGATAAAGGCTCTCTCTCTCTCTATATCTCTTGCTAGCTATTTATCCCACATGGTGGTGGAGTTAAATTTCCCTATTCTATTCCTTCACTTCGCTCTGTCTTGGATATCTTCCTCAGCAACATTGCCTTCCCTTTTGTCCCTCAGCACTACATCTTTCCATCTTGACCTAAGTCTACCTCTAGGTCTCTGACGGGGGAGGTCGCGCAGTAGCGCCAAATTTTCGACGTAATCTATAATAATATTATAAAGCTGAAGAGTTTGTTTGTTTTAACGCGCTAATCTCAGGAACTACTGGTCCGATTTGAAAAATTCTTTCAGTCTCAGATAGCATATAACATCACGCTAAGGCCCATAATAAATGAAGAGGCGGGTAAAATTTAGCGTTATGCCAAGATTATTTGCCAAAAGGCAAGGAGGAGAATAGTTTTGACTGTGTCCATAGCTCTCGGAAACTGATGAAAACACTCACCCGTATTTAACGAAATTAGTCCACAAGGTCGTCATCACATCGACCATTCTGACGTCGTCAGCATCATGAGTTTCGATGTTCAGATACGACATATCGAAAAGGTAACCCAACTCGTCAGCGTGCACGGCACCTCCCACGGTAATGTTATCTCTGACTCTGACGTAATTCCTCCCTCCGACATAAGAAAACAGATAAAGGAAGATATCGCCCGAATTGTGTTCAATGAATCTATCAATGCTTCGGTACGATGGATGGTTGTACATAATGTCGGAATCGAAATTGACCACGTCGAGTTTTGATTCGATGGTCACCTCATCGTCTCCAAAGTAAAAGTGCTGTACAATGTCTTTCATTCCGTTGAACTTGTCATTGTCAACGTCGAACGCGTCGAATAGCTTGGTTTCGACAACGTTAAGATTTCTAAAGTAATCGTCATCGCCGCTCGCGTGTATAATGAGTCTTTCGTGCTCATTAAAACCTATCAATACTTGCACGTCCCTAGCGTTACGTACGTCCGCGGTGATCCAGTTCTGGTCAATGAAACTTTCGACGCCTTCGAAGCTTTTTTCGACGCATGGCCTTACGTTCAGTTCGATGCCCAAATCGAAAACGGCAGCTATGACCAAACTGGGGTCGACTTGGGCTAAGAAAGCAATGGCAGCGTTTAAATCATCGGTGATGTACCCCAGTTTTTCGGCTATCAAAATTGGTGCGTTTCTCGAAGGCTCGTAAAAGACTGGCGACAGGGTTGTCCCGCTCTGTATGATGGCCTTATGGAAAAGCTTCTCTTTATTATACATCAGGTGGAAGTCCACAGCGATAGCACCAGCGCTTTCGCCAGAAACCGTGATCTTGTTGCTGTCGCCCCCGAAATTATGGATGTGCTCTTTGACCCATTTCAAAGCTAGGAGCTGATCTTTGAAGCCCTGATTGCCCGGCACTTCAGGAATGTCCAGACACATGAAACCGTACGGGCCAAGCCTGTAATTCAACGTGACCAAAATAACATCGTGCTTTACCAAGAATTTGGGACCATAGACATGTCTTCCGAAATCGCCATGTCTGAAACTGCCCCCGTAGATGTAAACCATGACCGGGACAGGGTTCTTTGATGTCGCTGAAGCGGGAACGTATACGTTGAGATGTAGACAATCTATGGTGCCAATGTAGACGCCAGTGGCTTCGTCAATTTGAGGGCATATCGCCGAATCGTCGTAAGCTTCTAATACGCCATCAAATTTACCATATGCTGTTGCGTCCTAAAACAAAAAACATTTTGGTTTGAATTGAGTATAATATGACAGAGGATCTTGCACTATAATGGTACAACGTTGGCCATATCAGGTTATATCTAAAACTTTATGGACTACGTCATGGAATGTCCATACTATTGTTATTCAAATAATTGTCCTGTCCAATATTCCCATATTTTGGTATATACCAAAATAACATTTTTTACATTTTTTGTCTGTCTGTCTGTTTGTTCCGGCTAATCTCTGGAACAGATAAACCGATTTTGACAGGACTTTCATTGGCAGATACCTGATGTAATAAGTAGTAACTTAGGCTACTTCTATTTTTTTAAATTACACACGGACGAATTGGCGGACACAGCTAGTGGTCTATAATAACTGGTTGACGTTGTCATATATATTGTCTATGGTTTATAACGGTAACCACTTAACATTAGGATATTGCCTGTGTGATAGAATCTGATTGTTAAGCGTATAGAGCGAGTTATGTAATAAAACATATAAAACTTATCTCTAATAATATATAAATCTACAGTGGCTTTTACGGATGTTCCGTTATAACTACTGAACCATGCATCCGATTGACTTGAAACTGGATATCCATGTAGAAAATACATGTACTTAATGGATAGGCTAATGTTTATATGAGTGTTGGACTCCCTAATAATAATGACAATGACAATAATGTTAATTTTAAATGCCCAGCGAAGCGGTCGAGTACGGCTAGTCTTGTAATAAAACATATAAAACTCATCGATATAACAAAAGCTATAGCTCGGAATAAGAGTCAATTGCGCTGATCTTATTTATGGGTAAATGCTAAATGATCTTATGATAAATGATATTATAAAATGATTTTACTAGTACTCTTCTGTCTGCAATATCGTCCGGGCGTCCAACGTCCGTTTGATATAGGACCCGGAAGAGATTAGAGGTATCACCGCTGTCAACACCACAAACAGAGGCGTGGCTAGCAAACTGACACCCGACCGACGGATATATCCAGCTGGGTCAGAAGCAACCAGCCCGGTCGGAACGCGATATACGGCCGATCGGTTTCAATACTTGATAACATCCTGTCATCGTTCTCGTCAAACCCGTCGCTTGCGACGAAGGGCTCGACGACGAAACTCAGCCCACTGAGTTTCTCGCCGGATCTTCTCAGTGGGTCGCGTTTCCGATCCGGTGGTAGATTCTGCGAAGCACGACTCTTGCCGTCAGGCTTGAACCCCGTGAGCTCACCTATTAGTTAAGGTTACGCTGATATAGCCTCTCAAGGCTCTCAGCTTGGGTAGGAATAAAAAAAAAATATAACATTTGAAGGAGTTATTTAAGAAAAAACCACTTACCCCAAAAGGATTGCTAGCGTTGACTTTTCCAAAAGGTATACCCAAGAACATGGCGTAGTCCCCATCGTTCGCCCTCAGACCCTTGATCAGGCCCAGCTCGGTCTCAACGAGAGGGTCAATTCTGGCCAAACCCTGGCTTTCGTTGACCAAATATAAAAGAATTTGGACAGCAACAAGAACACGTCTCCGAGCCGACATGTTGAAGTGTATCTGATAAATGTCTGAGAACCGCTAGTGATGCGATATTTTTTATTATCATGTGATGATAAATCTTATGACGGTTTTTCTGTCGGCAAACCTCCTTTACTGATAACGGATTGTAAGTCTTTCCCAATCACCGGACCCTCGATGTAGTAGATGAGAAATAAAATTTACGTTTCGCAATACTACTTTATATATCTTCGTCGCGCCGATGACTCCGTAAAATAATACACAATCTAATAGATGTGATCGAAATCTTGATAAAAACGATTAATTAAAAAAGATGATTCGCCTCTTTATTTAATTGGTTACTGTTAGACAACGAAATCTTTTCAATTACAATCATGACAATAATAATGCGAGTAATATACACAGATAATAGATAAATTTGATAAAATTTCAACGACGATTGTTACATTCAAGAAGGCCTTTTAATTCCCCCGATTTTAGCATGATTTCGGAATCTTCATTCCGAAGTTATATTCTTTTTAACAAATAAAACTAATTTTAAAGCCTTTTAGAACCCGTCGCTTGCGACGAAGGGCTCGACGAGTAAATTAAACCATAGACACAGCCCACTGAGTTTCTCGCCGGATCTTCTCAGTGGCTCGCGTTTCCGATCCGGTGATAGATTCTGCGAAGCACTGCCCTTGCTAAGGTTAGTGTTAGCAACGTCGTCAGGTTTGAGCCCCGTGGGCTCACCTACTCGCCTGGTGTATCTACTATGACTAACTTGACCATTTATATTTTTACTCAAAACGGAACATTGGTTTACTTGGGACTATTGACAGGTACATAATTAAAAACTACTTTTATAAAGTTATTATTCGGAAAAGTTTGCTTGAAAATTACGAATTATAGAACATATATACTTAAGATGTTTAGTTATATTTATATTTATTAGAGGAACAAATTTGCTATAATATAGCTTACATCGCATCGAGTTCGGCGGAAAATGGGACAATTTTGCGTTCCACATTTCATTTCGGGTCACCGGGAGTCGTAATTATAAAAAGGGGCCGTCCCGATCAAAACGAGTCGTCTGGACACTATGACCTCACTATGAGCTCACTAGAATAGGTAGGAAGAAAAAAAAGGATTTTCTAGTCATCATTCTAAGATCCTAAGGTCATAAGAGATGAATACCTATATACCCTGCCTCGATAACCAATTTGGAACATATTTTTCCAGGAGCTTCGCATATTATTCACTGAAAGAGAGACTGCCAGTGATCCTAACGAAAATCATAGATTATTTATCCAGAGAGGGAGCTAAAATTAAATCCACGCACGGCGCGGTGAGTGTAAACTTTTTTAGCTTCTGGGATTAAAGTCATTAATTTTTTTTCCGGTGGTAGGATCTCTTAAGAGTCCGCACGGGTAGGTACCACCGCCCTGTCTATTTCTGCCCTAAAGCAGTAATGCGTTTCGGTGTGAAGGGTGGAGCAGCCGTTTTAACTATACTGAGACCCTAGAACTTATATCTCAAGGTGGTATGTGAGCTCGTCATGCATGGAGGTAATATCTACCCTCCATATGTAAATAAATACAAAATAGTGTAGTGTAGTATATATCAACTCGGACATTTATAGGTTATTTTTCGGAATGCATGTTTCTTTTTGNAAGCAGTAATGCGTTTCGGTGTGAAGGGTGGAGCAGCCGTTTTAACTATACTGAGACCCTAGAACTTATATCTCAAGGTGGTATGTGAGCTCGTCATGCATGGAGGTAATATCTACCCTCCATATGTAAATAAATACAAAATAGTGTAGTGTAGTATATATCAACTCGGACATTTATAGGTTATTTTTCGGAATGCATGTTTCTTTTTGGCTTGTACTTGTGACTTAAGTGGCTACAGGGGCCTATAGACATCAGCAACGTGAAAGCTTACCTACACCCACATCGATATAAGGTCGAATATCAATTATAAAACTATTATCCCACCCTGCTTAGGGTCACAAATAGGCAGGGGTATCTACTCTTGCGAGTTCCCCATGCGTCTAACGGTAGTAAATGTTGCTTCACCATCGTAGTACGCTGGTATGGTTCATTCTCCGGCGACTTCCTTAATCACTTTCCACACGAAAGAAGACAGCCAAAAGAAGAGATGGATTGGTGGCATTCGAAGCCGACACCAAACAGCTAAATCTCCATCAACCTTCAAAGAAGATGAACGGCATTATAAGGGTTTCCTGAAGCTTTTCGTTTTGCCCACAGAGCGACGAAGACATACGTTCGTATATACAATACGTGACCAAGTTAAAAAACGATTTGGTCACCAACAAGCAGTACGATCTGCTGACGGTCGACACGCCCGAGGCGAGGAGATGGAACCAGTGGATCGAGGCATTGGACATCAAACACTACTTCACCAATGTGTGGGTGTTCACGGAGTGCTACGTTTACCGAAGGCTCAGGGAGGGCTGTGAGCTAAGGTGAGTGGTTTCAAGATAGAAACCAACAGAGATTCTTAATACGCTTTTATTAGCTTCTGACGTATGTATGTTAGTATGTAACGGAATCTTTGAACATGATTTTGACCCCCTTCAAAACGTCGGATTAACTCGAAGTTTGGTATAGTTATTAAGGACCGATGACAATTCAATATTACAAAAAAATTTGAAAAATTGGAAATCCAACTAAAAAATGAAAAATAAATTATAGTTTAAAAAACTAACAAAATACGCTGTTATACAAAAAAGCAACTAAGAAATAGAAAATTAATTTTAATAAATTTGAATTAAAAATAGTGTAAGAAAAAATGATTTTATTTAAAAAAAAGCATGGGGTGCTTGGTATCAGTAGTTATAAATATTTTATGAACAGATATGAGTAGAAGGATTATTTTGATAATATCGTGAAAAGCACCCCACGCTTTTTTACAATAAAATCATTTTTTCTTACACTATTTTCAATTCAAATTTAATAAAATTATTTTTTTATTTTTTAGTTGGATTTTCTATAAAAGCGTATTTTGTTAGTTTTTTTAAGCTATTCTTTACTTTTTCTTGAGTTGTGAAGGTAACTTGAAATAAACAAAATGAAATTAAACGGTAGGCAGCGGCTTGGCTCTGTCCCTGACATTGCTGAAGTCCATGGGCGACGGTGACCACTCACCATCAAGTGGGCCGTATGCTCGTCTGCCTACACAGGCAATATAAAAAAAAACGTTGCTCAGATGTGGATAAGCGTTGTTTCTATTCAATGGTTAGCCCGGCGTTGGGTTTGGCCGCAAATGAAGTCGCTCAGAGTGAAATTTCGTTTGGGTTATCTAAAGCATGCCGTGTTATTAAGAGGGAAGGGAATGGTATGGTGCTATGGCGTATTGTGAGTCTAAAGGCATAGAGATGTGAGTCTAAAGGCTTAGAGATGTGAGTCTAAAGGCATAGAGATGTGAGTCTTAAGGCATAGAGATGTGAGTCTAAAGGCATAGAGATGTGAGTCTTTATTGCTGGTCTTTATTACTGGTTGTAGGACCGCTTGTGAGTCCGCACGGGTAGGTACCACCGCCCTGCATATTTCTGCCGTGAAGCAGTGATGCGTTTCGGTTCGAAGGGTGGGGCAGCCGTTGTAACTATACTGAGACCTTAGAACTTATATCTCGAGGTGGGTGGCGCATTTACGTTGTAGATGTCTATGGGCTCCAGTAACCACTTAACACCAGGTGGGCTGTGAGCTCGTCCACCCATCTAAGCAATAAAAAAATAAAAAATAAAAACTACCACCGGATCAGAAACGCGGCCCACTGAGAGGATCCGGCGAGAAACTCAGTGGGCTGTGTCTATGGGTTAATACGCTCGTCGAGCCCTTCGTCGCAAGCGACGGGTTCGACGAGGACGGTGACCGGAAAATATCTTAAAAACTAGACGGTAAAAGTTGTTAATCTTCCATGCAAATTATCGCATTTTATAAATTTTAGAATGTAAATCTCAAGTTGATAAACATTACTGATTCCCTGATTTTGGCTTGGTCGAATGGTAGACATAGTAAGCTAGGCCCACCGGTAGGTCGCATGGCGTTTAACGTGTTAATATTTTTCATATCAAGCTTGGATTATGAGATAATGAGGGAATCGCTTGACTTGAAAAAATTGAGAATAACTCGAGCAGCATCGTATTCCTAACGATAAACAAGTAAATACCAAACGCTGTTACCAAACGATGTTAATTTTCAGCAAAACTCTCAAGAATTTCGATCCATTCGCTGACCAAAAGCAGAAATCGTTCGAAGGAAGCTTGGAGCTGATGTGTATCGTGGCCGATAAACTAGTTAATATGTTATCTAAGAGCGATAAAGATAAATGTAAAAGTGATTTTGTTACTTTGCTGAAGGTGAGAAAAAATTATAGCCTCGTCATAATTTGATGTTGGATCTGATCGCTTAATAATTTCGGGCACAACTTTAAGGCGATGGATTCGCTCGATTGAAAAGCCTAATGGAATCCATAGACACTATAAAGATGCCACCAGTGACTTAAGTTTCTAAAGCGCTGGTGCAATGGTGGTAGGCTGTGGTGGGCACTGGTGGTAAGACGACTTGTGATGTGATAATGGTGGTATACGCTGTGCTGGTACGTCACTGGTAGGTGCTAAGATTTCTTGTGAGCTCACACGGTAGGCTGTGGTGGTCACTGGTGGTAAGACGACTTGTGATGTGATAATGGTGGTATACGCTGTGGTGGTACGTCACTGGTAGGTGGTAAGATTTCTTGTGAACTCACACGGTAGGCTGTGGTGGTCACTGGTGGTAAGACGACTTGTGATGTGATAATGGTGGTATACGCTGTGGTGGTACGTCACTGGTAGGTGGTAAGATTTCTTGTGAGCTCACACAGATAAGTTCCAGAAACTTGCCTATTTCTGCCATTTTGAACGATGCAACCTTACAGATGTTCAAATATTACAGCTAGTACCGGATTTTCTATCTTAACACATTTTATTTATTTATTGCACAGATGGTTGGATGAGCTCACAGCCCACCTTGTGTTGAGTAGTT